TATATATATATATATATATATATATATATATATATATATATATATATATATATATACACACAGAGTGATACTATGTAAAGCCACCTCATTGCATCCCATGAAACAACTATTTTGAATTATGATACAAGGTAAGGAGTTGATGATTGATAGAAATGACATAAATTAATAATGTTTATTATACATTAATTAGTTGGTTAAATAATAATTAATTAACTTCCTCCAATATTAGCTGATTCGTTGTTTGGAAAACGATGAAATTAAGTCACACTCCGCTTGTTATACGTTATTAATACATGCATGAATTCATGAATTTTTTTTCCGTTACATATACATTAACTATATATTGTGAAAATTTGCATGTTGGATTCCGTTGAGTTACGGATTAAGAATACTTTTGATATGGAGGCGTAACCTAAATACTTTGATAATAAAAAAAGATAATTAATTATAAGATATACGGATATATTGATAATGATAAACAAGTGGGTTTTTTTTTTACCAACTTAAGTGGTTTTCTGTAACTTACGGGGCACATATGTGATTTGACACAGTCAAAAAACAACAAATGAACTTCTAAGACATGTAAAAGAATTCCACTATGCCGAGAGGATTGAACGGCGCCCGACCCCTATACAATATGTAAATCCTTCCAAAGCCTTTTTGTTTTAGCTTAAGAGGTTGTTTGGCGGTTGTTGAATGGTTTGATGCTGAATGATTAAGTGGTCAGAATTATTAAAAGACTCTCATGATATAGTGCAAAATGAAATATAATTGTTTGGTAACTGTTTACAATGAAATTATGGCTTTAAATGGTTAAGAGGGGCCCATGATACAAAATCATTCAGAAAGTTTTAAAACCATTAAGAGACATATTTTTTTGTCAAACAAGATTCATCTCTTAACGATTTAGAAATTACCTTACTTTTTAATGAAACTATTAAGAGATAAACAAATTACAACTTTTTTTAACAATAACTCAACTTTTGGTTTTGTTTCTTGTTCTATTAGTTTTAGTTTATTATATTATATTTTTATTTTAACGAATCCATAAAACATAACTTTAAAATATATAAATTTATATTAATATTAAATTTGTATTTTTAAATTAATATTAATATCAAATTTATACTCGTTAAATATACACTTATATATATATATTAATATAAACCTCATATTTATCAACATTGAGCCATTAATTACAATAGTCATTTTCAGTTTATGATTTTTTTTAGTCACTTTTCTTCTAAAATCATCAAAAAATCATTCCCTACGAAATTGGCAGGTCAGCAATTTATAGAAGGGTGAAAATGTAAAAAAACATAAGAAATTTCTGAACCAGATCCGTAACTACAAGGACCAAATATGTAAATTAGGTATAAGTCACAAATTATCGGTCCGAAATATGGAAATTGTGGACCTATCAATTGCGAAGGAAGTGACATTTAGTAATTTTTTTTTGAGAGAAATAACAAAGAGATAAAATAATATATGAAAATAATTATTTAATTAAATACTTTTATTTTCAAGATAAGATGTAATAGACATAGAAGGTGACATTAAAAAAGAGAGCAGAGATTGAGTTGACACACTCTCCTTAAACAACAAAAATGTCCTTGCGGAATATTATCTCATTGTAAAGAATCTCATTTAACAAAAAATATTGTGTTAATTTATGAAAATTTTCAACCAATCACAATCCATGAATACGATGCAGGGGCAACAGTAAGTGTGACCCCTCCTTAACCTCGTAAATCAAACAGCCCCATCGACCTTCACCATATGTATTTTATATACAATAATCGAATTGCATGGGTCGGGTTGAAGTGAAGTGGGTCTCAGAAAATGCATGTTATGAGGAAAAACAAACGTTTAGTGATTATAATATATAGTGCCACAAACGTCCATAATTGCATTACATTAATATTTAATTAATAGAAGCAGTTTTTGTTGTTTTGTTGAAAGTAGTACGTACTACCCCCACCAAGATTGAAATCAAGTTCCACATCCACATCGATCATAATATGTTGTTATTGTTAACATTCCTCCTCCTCATCATCGGACCAGAATTACTGAACAGCTGACCAACTGAAGTCACCACGTGACACTTGTTGTTTTTCCCGCTACAGCTGCGAGCCTTCCTCTTCTTGGCTCCCGCCCACGACGAAGAGGTCGACGTCGTCGGAGAAGTGGTGCTGGTACTGCCAGACAATGGGAACACCGATGGTATCTCGAAGTTGGTCCGAGCTTTTGATCCTCTTAGTCGTCTAGCCGCAGCGTCATAAGCACGCGCCGCCTCCTCCGCCGTGTCAAACGTTCCCAACCAGTGTCTGCACCGTCCTATCCTATCACGTATCTCCGCCGACCATCTTCCCCACGGCCTCTTTCTCACTCCTCTGTAGTTCTTTTTCACTTCTTTTTCCACAACTTCCTGCGGAACAGCAGAGCCTGTTTTTTTACCAGCCGTCGACGGAGATTTCCCAAACAGAATACATTCTCCGACGACTGCTGCTATGCCTTCGAGAGCAGCCGGCTGGTCGTCACACTCCGATGAGATATCAGTTTCCGGCGAAGGGTATTGAAGCCGAGTTGATGGGGTATGAATACAGTAAATTTGGTCGAGTAAAGAGAAGGGTTTCAGCAGTTGATCAAGAGAATCTTGGTTAGCAGGGAAAAAGGGAAGGGATTGGAAGAGGGTGTTCATTGTTTTGAAGCTTTATGTTTGTTTATTCATCAATGGAAGGTTGAGGTTTCAGAGAGTCTGTATATATCTTCTACTTGATGCTAACAAGTTATGTGGTGTATGCATGGGGAGTGATGAATTTTCTGAGACCCACTATTTATACCCACGACTTCACTTCAACCCGACCCATGCAATTCGAGTATTATATATAAAATACATATACAGAGGTATGGTGAAGGTGGATGGGGTTGTTTGATTTACGAGGTTCAGGAGGGGTCACAGTTACTGCTGCTGCTGCTGATGATGGTGCATGGTATGCATACCATGTACGTACGATGAAGGGAAGGGAACGGGGTGATGTGTTGTGAAATTAAAGACTAAAAATCTCGTATTAAACAGTGTTTAAAATTGTTTGATTTGATCTTTTCTATTGTTTTCTAGTAAAATCTTTTCATATGACGTCACTTCTGATTTTTCATATATTTCCTTTTCTTTAGCCATCTCAGATTCCCTAAATATCAAAATACACCCTAACTTTGGTTCACAGAATGATTGATTTATGTATGAATGAAATCTTTTAAAGAAATTGGAATGAAATGTTATCAGTTTTGAAATGTAATCTGTATAATGAATTAGAATATGTCTTTTTGACTTGCAACAAAATTGAAATAAAATGATGAGAAAAGACAAAAATACCCTCTCTTGGATGCGAGTTGAGCTGCATGGCACCTGCATTCGGTTCTGTTTCCCTAGTTTGATGCTAGCTTTTGGGCTTCCTTCGGTTCGTTTCCTGAGATTAGTCAGCTCGCATAACGGATTGGATTTCCAGGTTAATAAAAAAAATCTTTTGGATCTTAAAACTTGATGTTTACTTTTGTTTGATAAATTAAAACATGTTTTGGTTGGACAAAATATTTGTATTCTTTTTAGATGAATTCGATTGAGTTGGACATAATTAAATGAATATGCATGAATGTCAACTAGTCAATGGTTATTAATAAATAAAATATGTATATATTTGGATTAATTATAAAGTTTATTTAAATTAAATATGATTAATTAATTAAAAATGAAGAGAATTGGAGGAGAGCATGAGTTGGGTTAAACCCATTCTGGGATATGGGAAAAGGTTATCAAGAAAAACAAAAACCAAGGGAATCAAGACAAATAAAAGTATGCCATTATCACACCTTTTATCATTGTTTTTATCAACCTCTTTTCTTTTTTTATTATATATATATATATATATATATATAATTAAAAGTTTGTTAGATAATAAAAGTTAAGGTAAAAAGAGATCTAAACCCTTGATTATCTTTAATCACAAATCCATCCATAAACCTAGCTTCATATAGAATTGATCCGGTGCATATAAACCACACTTGATACTGAATTACACTACAACAAAATCAGGTTTATAAGACACTCCCAATTTTTAAGCGTCCTAATAGACCTCTTTATAAGACTTTGCTTATAAGAACAAAAAAACAGAGTGTCCTATCTAAAGACATTGTAATAAGTTTATATGACGTTTTTTGATATCATAATAAGTTTTTATGACACTTTTAATCTAAAACGTCAAATTAGCAACTTTATACTATTTAAAAAACTAACCTATAAAAACAAATAATTTATAAAAAATTGAGTTTATATGACACTTTCTTTAAAATGTCATATAAATTTGCTAATACGATATACTTTATATTAAAAATGTTCTAAAAAACTTGTTAAGACACCCAAAAACGTCATATAAATTTATTACAACACGTTTAAATATGACACTTCATATTTTGGTCCTATAAATTAAGTTCTATAAAACGGTCTATTGTAACACTTAAATATTAGGAATGTCCTATAAACCCAATTTTATTACAGTGTTAATATATAGTGCATCTTGTTACTATCTCATTATAATACACATCATTAGAAATGTGAAAAAGAAGATGAAATCTTGGTTGATGCCACAATGAATATTCTTCAACTTTTTGAGATGAAAATGGGTCAAAGATTTGTTTCTGTATTTTAATAAACCATATAATAAATTGAAAAAGCTACATGTACCTGCTGCTGCTGCTATCAACCTAAAAATAATATGAATTAAAAAAATACAAAATACATGCCCAAAACTAAACCTATCACCACCTATCAAATCTTCAAATATCCAATGCCTATTCAACCTTTTAATTTTAGCAATAATTAATTAATTAATTAAAAAATAATTTAATTTTATATAATATAACGAGTTCATTTTTTTTCATAAATTTAAATTTTTGTCACTGTTAAACTGGAAGAATGGAAATTCATTTCCTGTTACTTTTCATTTTTATTTTCAGTTCGTTCTTATCAGTAAAAGTTTATTTTATAATTTCAAACGATGTTTTATGTATTCTATTAAAACGTGAGCTCGATCCTTTTATTATTCCTCTGAATGCTTGACATGAAATCGAAGCCGCTAATCATAAGAATCGATTCTGAGAATTATTTGGAGTTCGTTTGAGCTCAATGTATAGACTATGGATGAGATTCGAGTCCATTTATAATGGCAGTAATAATGTGATATTTTCAGTGTCTGAAATAAATCCCTAAACGTAGTTCTTGAGTATTTCTTGATTTTCATATTATTTACAAAAATGCCACTTAAATCTGGGTCCATTTTTTTTATGCAAGAAATAATTTTTATACTGCTTCTTATTTTGTGCGATAGATCATCTGTAGAGTAATTTCGGCTTTAAAACATCTCTAACATGTGTGTTATATTTTATTTTTATTTCTTTTAATTTAATTTTTTTTATTTTATCTCTCAATTTTTCTCTATTTTAGTGGAAAGTTTAGTATATAATTGTTAAGAGTAAGGAGCCGTTTACCTAAACACTTACCGGTAAAATTCAACACTATCGCTTACTTACCGGATATGATTTTATTCACTAACACGCATCGTATGCAACAATTTATCCCGGTAAGCGCTAACCATGTTAAGAGTCATCGTCCTCACTTACCGGGTAAGAGTCTCGATTCTTGCATTCGCTCTTACCGAGTAAGATTTTTAGTCCTTGCCATATTCATCCGGTAAAGTAAAGTGACTTGATAAGCGCTTACCCGAGTAAGCGTTTGGTAAACGGCACCTAAATTATTTTCAAATATTTATTTTTAAAAAATAATATAACTATTGAAAATGTGATTAGAATATAAGTCATGTTGTATATTGTGATTTGTGAATGTGATATATATCTTGTTTGGGTTGGACACTTCATATTCCTTGGTCATTGGGCCTTGGACCTTAGACCTTGGGCTTAAGGCCTGCTCAAAGAATGATCCATTACACATATTTAAGTCTATCTTTTTGCAAAAAGGTAAATTGTATAAAAAAGTAACTTACTTTAACTTGATTTATATTTTGAGTAGCGTACTTCTAAAACATTCATTTTGGTACAAAGAATATAAAGTTTTAAACATTTTAGTATTCGGATAACTGGTTGAAACATTAAGTGGTTACCATGCTGATGTGGCGAGTGATTTGATTTACCTTTTGAATTTAAAAATTCAATAAAATTTTATATTGAGTTAGATATCACATCAACATGGTAACCGGTTATTACTCGAGTACTTAAATATTTAAAATTTTACATCTTAGATACCAAAATAGAAGTTTCATGCAACTTGTCCTTTTCCAAGAGACATTTCCATCCCTCTCGGTCTCTCCCAAATGGCAATGCAATAACTCCATTACATAAATTAAAGTAGCTCTAGGATGTTCTTAAAAAGGGTGGAGATATTTGTACCCCTATCTGTATGTTAAATCATCAGAATCGTATTCAAACCGGACTATGGGGTAGCAAGGGGCGTACTGGTGGTGGTGTTCACAGTGAAATCATCGGAATCGTATTCAAACCGGAGCATTCCAAGCTGAGATTATCGACATCATCCCAACTTATACCTGTTTAAAGCGAAAGAAGTTTCAGTAGACCCATCGTGTCCAAACCTGGCAACGCCGACAACCCGAATCCATTTCCGCCCAATCGAAGGAAATGTCTAGCTAAAAGTTGAGCATCTGATCTCAAATTCGAAACACCATTCTGGGTCTGTGAACCCATATGACAAAACCTTGGAAGAAACCCAATTGATGGAGATGCCGGAGACGGTAAGATCTAATTAAATTAAATGAGAACTAATTAGTTTGTCATAATCGTAAGGTCCAATCTTAATCACAAATTAATAGATAAGTGAAGAAATTTATAATTTTGGTAATTTTGAATTAAAATTTTAATACAAAGACATTTTAGGTATTATAAAATTCTCCTCTCTTCTCTCTCCGTCCTCCATCTTCCGGCCTTTGGAATGTATCTTATATATGTTTGGGTATCACACTGAGGTCGTCTGTGTGGTCGATCAGAGATGTAATATAGTGATATTGCAATTCATCTTATATGTGCTTGTGTATCACACTGTGTCTTTTGTTTAAAATAAAGGGACTAAAATACCCCTCACTTAGAATTAACACATCTATCTATTTTCTAATTAAACACCTATCTATTAGTTATGTTTTTTTTTAAATTATTTTTGTCTTTTTAATTTTATCTTGAATTTTGCTATTTTCAATATTTAGGGGCCGTTTACCAAACTCTTAACTGGGTAAGCGCTTACCAAATAACACTATCTCACTGGATGAATATGGTAAGGACCAAGAACTTACCCGGTAAGAACGAGACAAGGACCAAGAGTCTTACCTGGTAAGTGAGGGAGACGACTATTACCACAGTAAGCGTTTACCGGGTAAATTGTTGCATACCATGTCGTTTTTGTGAATTAAAATCTTATCCAACGATCAAATAATTAATGATGTTAAATTTGACCGGTAAGTACTTATCAGGTAATGATGATGGAATTTAAATAAAAATACAAATAAATTGTTGCAATATATATTAATGATGGAATTTAAATTAAAAAATAAATAATATTTAAAAATCTACTGATTATCTTCATCGTATGTAATAAATAATATTATATAAAATAAATTTATATTAGTAATATTTACAATTATATGATAATATTCATGATTATTATTATATGATAATAAAAAATAAAAATAAAAGATAAAAAGGGATAATTAAGGGGGTGCTAATGGCACCCCTTAATAGGGGGTGTGATTTTCTTGAAAATTATACCAATCAACTTTTTTCATAAACATCACCTCAATAATTATTTTATTAATTTTGTTTTATTTTATATATTTACATTTAAAAAAATATATATTATTTTATTATTTTTATGTTATTTTATTATTTATAAATTACTTTATATATATATATATATATATTATTAGATTTTTATATTTATTTTATTATATTTATTTATTTACATATTATTTTATATATTATTACTTTATTCTTCATCTTCTTTGTTTTCCTTTACTTCATTTTAAATTTCATTTTAAATCAAACATTTTTTAAAATTCTTTTTTTGATATGTAATTTCATACCAAAAAAGTGACAATTTACTTTTTTGGTCCCTAAAATTTGTAAATGAGGCTCGACCTTGGGTCATTTTGTTGTTCTTATTATGATCATCTTACGTTTAATTTCCAACTAAAACAACCCAAAGACCCCTCCCCTGATTTCCAAGTTATATAGTGGTTGCTGATAATGCACACAGAAACAATAAAACTGGTGTGTTTTTTTTTGAACTAGGAGGGAAGCATGCATATATCATATATATACACATTAGGAGATGAAGACAAAAAATATACTTACTTAAAACTTTAACGTGAATGTAAAATATTTTATTTATTATTAAATATTTATATTTTTGAAATAATATGATTAAATATTATAAAATACATATTAAAATATACAACNATTTATATTAATAATATTTACAATTATATAGTCATATTCATGATTATTATTATATGATAATAAAAAATAAAAACAGATAATTAATTATGAATGTAATGACGAGATAGAAGAGAAAGGGGAGATAAAATATTAAAATAATTAATAATGTCGTATTGATTGGTGGTTTGTAAAAAATCAATTGAAACCGACCGATCATAACTAGATATTTAATTGTAATTGGATCAAATCGAATTAAAAATTTCAACATCCAATTTGGATCAGTCGGTTCTTAGATGACAACCCAAAACCGACTAAAACCGAACTGAATCGAATCGATCGACATTCAATTAATCATTCAGTTATCCACCCAACCATTTTCAACTATCATCCAAAATTTGTTTTAATTAGGCACAAGGGAATCCATGGATCTTGGTTGGATTCAAAGCATTAGAGCATACTCTAGCAACTAAAGGAAAATTGGATTCGATAAAACAATTCAATTTATTAAAAAAAAAACTGTTAACTCAAAATATCAGATGGGACTTGAATAATTGAAATAAAAATCTTCAGTACTGAATTCAATAATTTGTCGATGGACCCTCTCCTATAATTTCATTTTGATGACGATAATTCAATCCATCATCTGAGTAGATCCTCTGACATGCGCATTAATTTAGAATTACATCAGATAAAATTTTCCAAGCTTTTAAATTATTCCAATAATTGAATATTCTAAAGTAGATCTAGAGATCACATTTGGATAAGAAATCGATCAGAAACCAATCAATTGTGAGGTAGAAGATATTTATGTTGTCCAGAAAAATTAATAGAAGTCGTATAAGCTGTTAAGAAATCACTTTCAGTATATAAAATTCTGTCTTTTTGTTAAATTATATAAATAATAACTCAGTAAAACAAATAAAAAGATCAAACAGATATTTTGTCACGAATTGGTTCAAAAACTCAAAATGTATTTCATGTGCTTTAATTTGTTTCTTTGATTTGAGGGTTTTGGTTTTCACATACAAAGTCTTTCTACTCATCATAACTCTACAATAAACTGGTGTTTTAAGGATACATAACTATTTAAAGGGTCGTTTATCAAAGATTTACCTGATAAGTGTTTATCGGTAAAATTTAATAATATTATTTAATTATCGAGTAAGATTTTACTCCATAAAAACAATAACGTATGCAATAATCTACCTGATAAACTCTTACAGTGATAAGAGTCGTCGTCTTCACTTACCGGGTAAGACTCTTGATCTTTTTTTCGTTCTTACCGGGTAAGATTTTTGGTCTTTGTTATATTCATCCGGTAAGGTAATGTGACATGGTAAACGCTTACCCGGGTAAACTTTATGGTAAACGGCCCCTAAGTGTCCTTAACCAACTTAATAGACTACTTGATATAATTAAAGTTTACTATAAGGGTATTTGTGTAATGCAACGATCTATATCTTGATCTTAATGTTTTGTTTTATTATGTCTCTATAGATATTATAATATGCTTTTGAAAAAGATATAATGTTTTTATTTTTGAATAAAATATAAATTTGAAGATATCGTAAAATTTTGAAAATAAATATATGGATATTAGTATCAAATTAACTACTTAAAAATTCTTGTTTTTTTGGATAATTTTTTTAATTTATTTTTTTATTATAATTTAATTTAGATATAATAACAACGTAATTTATTTTTGATTTAATAATATAGTTTTTTATAAGGATAAAAAATTAATTATTTTGTTGGAACAAAATGATTATCTTAATTATGTTTTAGATTTTTTATATTTAAAATAGAACGTTTATCTTGTATTTGATTGTATTTATCTGCCACGAATTCAAACAACTTTAATAAATTTACTCATGTATAATTTATTTGTAATCTTGAATTTTAAGTAATATGTATCAATAAACAATATTTCATACATTAAAAATAATTTCTAACAGTTTTTATCAAATGTTTTATAATATAATACATATATGACCAATAACATTTAACCATATACAACGAAAATTACAATAAATTATTAGGATAAAATTTGACATCTGAAAATATTATTAACGAAGTCAGATAATCTAGCTAGTTTGTAAAAAAAAATATGTATATTTAATCCGTTTGCATGAATATGTAGACTGTAAAGTAGATATCTATACTATATTATAAAGCATTTGACAAAAACTCTTAAAATCCATTTTATGCATAAAGTACCGTTTATTGATGTTTGTTACTTAAAATTCAAGATTACAAATAAACTGTGCGTAAACAAACTAATTAAAGTTTTATGTTTGAATTCATGTAACTAACTGTAGATAGACATAGTGAGATAAAAGATAAATATTTTATTTTAAATATAAAAAATCTAAAATATAATTAGGATAATCATTGAGTTATAACAGAATACTTAATTATTATCCTTAGAATAAATTATATTATTAAATAAAAAATAAATTACTCTATTATTAAATTTAAATTAAATTATAATAAAAATTGAATTAAAGAAATTAAAAAAAAACTTTTAAATAGTTAATTTGATACTAATATTGATATATCTATTTTCAAAATTTTATGATATATTCAAATTTATATTTTATTTAAAAATAAAAACATTATCATTTTCTTAAAATTATATAAAAACTGTATTAAAATATTTATAAAGACGAAATAAAACGAAACATTGAAATCAAGATATATATTTCGTTGTATTATACGAGTACGATCTAGTTCTAATTCTAGTAAATGCAAATATATATTATATATATATATATATATATATATATATATATATATATATATATATATATATATATACCGGATTCATTGCTTTCCTTGAAGAGTTTCAGTTCCATCGATCTCTGAAAGAAAATGCCAGAACAGCAGTAGATGTCAAACCCTAATAACTTTATACACACACACACATCTATCTATCTATATATATATATATATATATATATATATATAATTAATTAATTAATTAATTAACTCCACAGACTCATTCAGCAACCCCTTCAGATCCTGGGATTTCTGGAAGCTGATGGAACACTCGAGCGCAGCTATAAACCGAACAGAAAGCTTGTAAGCTCGTCAAGAACAACATAAACACAGCCGCCAACAATGTTAGAAGCTTCCAAGATGCAAACACATATGTCTTCATGAACTTGGACAATTTTACCCTCCATGTCCTGCTATACCTTTTGTTCACATCTTCAATCACTTTATCCATCTTTGCAACTTTCGTAAGTTTCACAGACTTACTCATTCCATTCCACAGATCTGCAACCTCTTTATCACTCTTCAGATGGTTCAGAACTATCCCTTTCTCACTCAGTAACTTTGCATCTTCTTCCGTGTCGATTATTCCGTTCATTAACTCGGTATATCGAGCCACCACCAATGGCCCCGCGGCTACGCAGGCTTCGTATGCTACCAAGTTTCGAAAATACACCTCGCTATTTACGTCCAAATTGATTATTGGGAGTGAAAGTGTGCTTGTTATATCATCGAAGCTGATGTCGAAAATTCCACCATTAACGGGTGAGAAAAGGATCCCGGCTTTGGCCATCTCAGTGACCGATGGGATTGTTATTTCCTCGATTAATGGTGCCTTTGAATCGATGCCATCGTCTTCCGATTTCTTCTCTCCGTCACCACGAAAGTTTTCGACCATGTGTTCGATGGGTTCTTTCAGGAGTTTGAGTATGGGGAGATTAGAGATGATCTTCCAAGGGAATTTCATCAACAACGTGACTGGTTTCCCGAATATGATTTTTTTGAAAAGAGCTACAAGACCTCTGTTTGATTTGGAGATGATTGTCCAGATAGCATTCATGAAACGTCGAACATCACTTTGTTTTGCGAAAGATTCTTCTTCTGCTTCATCTCCTTGTTTAACCTCGGTGATACCTTCATTCTCGATATCGATCTCAGCCTCTTCGATACCGAGTTCTTTGTTGTTTGGCACTGTCATGTGATACAGAAAATCGAGAAGGTGATCACAGTCGCTAATGTCAACCTCCGGCAACTCTTTTTCTTGAAAGGGAGAAAGCTCATGGTACAACCCCATCAACATGGTCTTCAACGTCTGTTCAGCTGTCAGTTCATGAATCATCTGTTTCCGTTGAGCTTCCAACATTGTCTTGATCAGAAACAATGGAATCTGGTTCTCAACCATCACCAAATCACGAAGAATCGCCATATGCGACAGTTTCTTCCCGGAGGCATCGACCAAATGAGACATCCCGGAAACGACTTTCTTGAGAATCCGGCCTTGTTGTTTCATCAAGTAAACCTGAAGAAACTCCAGCAGAAACGCCATATCAACGGCCATCATCCAGATGAGAGCATCACCGGACATATCCAAGAACTTATGGTAGCAAGCACGGATTCGACTCTCGTCGTTTTTCTTCATAACGTCGACGATACGTTCGAAGCTGACATTCATTTGTTTCTGGGTTCTTCGTGCGGAGGCGAGCTTGTACCGCTGCATGTCGTAGACCTCCGGGCGCCAATGGTGGAAGGGACCTAAGGCGACTTGCTGTGGGATGTAGGCTTCGGGATCGGTGGCGAGAAGTACTTTGGGGACGGCGAAGATACTAACTGGAATTTTGCCGATTTCATCATCGTTATGTTCGACGATGGATTTACGCATGCTTTCAACCCATTCATCCTGATCGATATCGGATTTGGAGAAAGAGTAGGAATTGAAGGAGTGGCTGGAAGAGGAAGGCATGGCGATCGATGGTGTTGAAGATAATTAAGAACTGCAAGACCATATATACATATATATATATATATATACATACACACACACACCACAGCCCGATGGAGTGAACGAGTGATTTGTTCAATACAACGTGATATGTATGTTGGAAATATCATGAAAAAGAGAGATGGAAATGTGAAGAGAAGAAAAAGAAAAAGAAAGGTAATATTTAATAATTGTTTTTGTTACAAGTGGGGTTTCAATTTATTTGCATGGTAAGAAAATGGAGTATAAAGTGTTACTATCGTCAGTGATGGTTAAATCCGTCCGGTCTGATTCGATTTTCAAAAAATGTAGTTATTATTTTAAAATGTAACCTTTATTTAAAAAAAAAAAACTAGCTTTTTTTTTGTATTTTTGTTTTCTAAACACTATATATAAATGTTTTGGTTGGGGATTTACATATCAAGTTTTCAATTCACAAAAAACGTAAAAAAACGTTTACAATAATCGGTTTCTCGCTATATTTTGTAAGACAATGTAATTTTAATTATAATAAAACGCATTATTAAAGTGTATTTGAGTGACTCAATTACAAATTTTATAATACATTAAATATATATATATATATATATATTAAATATATATATATATATATCATTAAAAAATAAAATAAAGTAATTATTTTTTAATAACCGGGACCGGCGGCTCATAACCGGTTACAATAAAGTTTGACCGGGCTCAACTTTTTTGATCGGGACCGGGACCGGTTATGGCCGGTTATGAGAAATCTTGAGACCAGTTGGAACCGACCCGGGACCGGTTTTTGGCCATCACTACTTATCGGTTTGAACTTAGATTTTAAAGGTCAAAAGTGTCTGGAGGTCACAAGTTCAAATTCAAGGAGGAATAAAAATCCTCTTGTGACCACGAATGTTTAAATACGGTGACTCCGCACTAACCACAAAACATGTGGTTGTTCTGGGATTATTGATTCGTATAACAAATTGAATATCCATGTTAATAAAAATAATGGAGTATATGATATTATTTGGTTGTGATGTTACAGAAAACTTAATTCAAATGAGCAAATGGTATATGATTTAAGCACCACACTTTTATTTTATTATATATTTCTCTTTTTAATATATGGAGTGGCCAAAAAAAAGGAAATTTTATCATAAAGAAGATCAATATTTGAACATAAGTCCGAATTCATTGTGAACTCAAAATTTAAGATGAAAAATGGAAGTTTTTGAGTTTCAAATAGTGATGGCCAAACCGGCCTGGCCCGGTCCGGGACTGTTGGGAGACCAGAACCGGTTATAGATTTGGGGTGGTTTGCAGAACCGGGACTTACTAGGACCGGTTATGGGCCGGGCCGGCTCGGATTTTTAAAAAACGTAGGTATTTTTTGCTTTATAAACACTATATATAAGTGTATTGGTTGAGAAATTTACATACCAAGTTCTCGATTCGAAAAAACGCAAAAAAACGGTTCACAGTTATCGGTTTCTCGCTATATTTTGTAAGACAAAGTAATTTTAATTATAATAAAACGCATTTTTAAACTGTATTTGAGTGACCCAATTACAAATTTTATTATGTATTAAAAATATATATCATTAAAAAAAAATTATTTTTTAATGACCGGAACTGGATGGGACCAACGGCCCATAACCAGTTACAATAAAGTTTGACCGGGATCAACTTTTTCGAACGGGACCGGGATCAGTTTTTGACCATCACTAATTTCAAGTATGACCCTCAAAATTACATCAAAAGCATATAAATAAAAAGCCCAACGAAAAATTAAATACATAGGAAAAAACACAAAAATGTCTAGAAACATGTTCAAACGACGTTTTTGGCCACAAAAATCTTATTGAGTGTGTGCTCGAATCAGCGTATTACGAGTCTAAAATCGAATCTCATAGCAAAAGTTATGCTCGTTTACGCGTGACTCACCTGTTAGCCCGGTCATGGGACTCCAAAAACAATAAGGTCTGATCCTCCATGACAAGGCCATCGTCTAATACTTTTCTGTCACCCAATTTTAAAGGTCTACGTATTTGTTTCTCAATGGAGAATTACGTACTGTAGTTTCAACTAACTACATTTTGTCTGAAGATCTTGAAGTCGATGAGTCGAACAATAAATCTAATCTTAAATCAGCGGCTTCTTACACAAAGCAAAAGACACCCATTTAGACATGTTCAAATTAAAAGAGATCAGCATGCCCAAATATTTATGAACGAAATATTGAAAACGGATTTACTAGGCGCGATTTTGATCTAGAAAAAAAATTCACATGTGCATCCATCGAAGTTATCTACATCCATGCCAATGGCTTTGGTATGTTCATGTGTTGTGAGCGAGAATGATCTCGTATGATTTTTCAGAGTTTGTAGGGACGAAGGCAATGAGCCCATAGTGAGGACCGACAGACTCTCCATCACACACACACACACACACACATATATATATATATCGAGTATGTAGCAAACACGATCGAGCTTATATTAAGCATTCTTCATCATGAATGTCAAACTTATAATTAAGCATGTCGAGCTTCTCTACGCTTCTATCAAACATCATAGAAATGAACCCCCACACATACACACATATACGAGGTTGGATACTGAAACGTATTATTATATATTTGAAATCATTTTGAGGAACACAAGAAGTAAATTCACATGTATTTTATGGTTGATAATGAATAGAACATCTTCCACGTGATTTTTCCTTTTTTGGTATATTTGTATTTACGTGTATACACATGTTTCATGTATCTATAAGGAGTGGTTAGGATGGAGGTAAGCACGTGGAGTTGATAGTTTGAGGTACAAGCACCTCTGGTTTCTTTTTCTCTTGGATAACGTTGTTGGACTCATGACTCATGATCCTTGATAATAAATGCTAATAAATGCCAATAAATTCATCATGTAAGCATTTGAAATGTATAGCATTCTTGAGAAGGGATTTTTCTACAATAGAGATTTTTAACCATAATATTGGTGTCTGATTGGTTTGAGCTTGGTTATAAAGGTCAAAAGTATCAGGAGTTCCCAAGTTCAAATTCAAGAAGGAATAAAAATCTTCTTGTGGTCACGGAGGTTCAAATACGATGACTTTGGGCTATCTGCAAAGCAGGTGGTCGTCCTGGGATTAATCAGCTTGCATAGCGGGTCAGATATTCAGGTTAAAAAAATAGAGTTTTTGGGTTTTTTTTTTCAAATATATTCTTAAAAACCTTCTTCAAAATGGAGAAAATTAAAATCATTGAAATTAAATGTATAAGAGAGAAAAATATATTTTATGAAAGGTTTTGAAGATTTTAATAAAATAATTTATATTGTAAATGATCGAAATAAAAATCCGTTAAAGATGAATATGAATTTTCTTTTGGGATTTTGAATTTTGATTCTTTATTTTGAAAGATTTATTGGAACTGCTTTAAAACAGGAAGTTCAACGTATTCAAATGAACTTTCTTATTTCGAATGATTAAGAGATTGTTTGACAGTTGCTAAATGGTTTAATGCAGAATGATTAAGTGGTCAGAATGATTAAGAGGCTCTTATGATGTAATGTAAAATGAAATATAATTGTTTAGTAATTGTTCAGAATGAAATTAATGCGCCGAATGGTTAAAAGAGGCCCGAGATACAAAATTATTCAGATGGTTTTAGAACCATTAAGAGACATATTTTTTTTTTTGCCAAACAAGATTCATCTCTTAGCGATCAAATACTGCCTCTTAATGGAACTATTAAGAGGTAAACAAACATCCCCTAAGTCTTTTGAATTTTTTTAACTAAATATACCATTAAACTTTCAAAATTGAATTATTAAGTTCATGAACATTTTCTTTTGAATAAATAAACCATCAAATTTTATAGATTAGTTACCTATATTCTGTTAACCTAAAAAGCTACATGTAACAGGCTACAAAACGTCAATTGGTTTTACCGTTTCCAAACCCTATGTCATTCAAACCACTCACACCCAACGACATCGTTTCCTCCTCGTTGTCCCATTGTCTTCCGCTCTCTATTATCGTTCATCGTCACCATTCACCTGTACCATCGATTTTCCACTTTTTGATTATTTTTTGTTTTTTAATCGTCATTCTTTTTTATTTGTCTATATGCACTCCAATATATTGTTGGAAGATAGAGAATCGTAAGACAAAAAAACAAATAAAAAAGGAGATCAATGGTAGAGGGCAAAGGTGGCAATAGGAGGCATACGTCGGGGTCTTTTACCCAAATGCTTACCTGGTAAGTGCTTATCGGTAAGAGTAAACATTATAATCTATTTTACCGTGTAAGATTGTAGTATATTAAAACAATATTGTATGCAACAATTTACCCAGTAAACGCTTACTCGGGTAAGAGTCCCCACTATCACTTACCGGGTAAGATTATTTATCCTTATCATCGTTCTTACCGAGTAAGATTTTCAGCCCTTACCATGTGCACCAGATGAGGAAAATTACTCGATCAATACTTACCGGATAAGTATTTATAAACGGCCCCTTAGTATTGTCGGTACATACTTTTGAACCCGATATCCCTATCAAATAGCATGGGGACATCCACATTCATTTGATGATCCCGCAAAATAAAAAGTTCCAATGCAAATTAGTTTTGTGCAATAAATGAAACACGACAGGGACGGACCCAGAATTTTTTTTAAATGGTGGCACCATTTGACCATAAGAAAAAAATATATATGAATTTTTTTTTCAAACGGTGACACCGTTTGACTATACGAAACAAATATACATAATTTTTTTTTTTCAAATGGTGGCACCGTTTGACTAAGAAAATGGCACTAACATGATTCGGACTTAGGTGTGGGATAGAATAAAAGCCTTAACCAACTCTACCAAATAAAACTTGTTATCATTGTAGTTTCAAAATACATAAGGTAACACACAACAAATTAACACGG